GAGGGAGAAAGGAGGAAGAGGAGGAGGAGGAGGAGGAGGGGTGAGATTCTGTGTTATTAGGAGAAAAATTCTATTGATTTTTACTAAAGGAAATAGATGGTTGTTTAGTCTAATTCATCTTTATTATGATTCTCATGTCACGTTTGTTTGTTTGATTGTTTGTTTGTTTGATTGTATGTTTGTTTGTATGTATGTGTGTTTGTTTGTTTGTTTAATTGTAGAAACAAGATTAAAACAATGATTAAAGATAAATACGAGGGAGCAATACAAAGAAGAAGAAGAAGAGAGAGAGAGAGAGAGAGAACGAAATCGAGGAGGAGGAAGGAAAAGAAGGATGAGTAAGTGGAGGAAAGGAGGAAGGAGGAGGTAGGAGGAAGAGGCAGGAGGAGGTAGGAGGGATAAGAGCCGTAATCTGTGGCCGTGTTGTGGGTAGCGGAGCGTTAGATCACCGCGATTAGCCGACTCCTTCAGATATCCAGGTACACTGTTTAGTTACGGCACACACACACACACACACACACACCTCGATACTCCATCCCCCGACCACTACCCACCTGACGAAGACCTGCCCTCCGATCTCTCTTACGTCGTTTTCTAGATCGTGTGGAGGGCGTTCATCACCTCCAGAAGGCCACCAGTTATACGACAAGATACTATGTCACACAGCTGAACGGGTCTTTAAGTCGGGGAGCAAGGGAGGGGGAGGGAAGTGTGGGGTGGGGGGGGGAGAGGGAAGTGAGCTGCAACCCCTAACTCCCCCTCCCTCCCCCTCCCCCTACTCCCAGTTTGATGATCTGTCAGTTTATAGGTATTTTATTTCATGGTTTTGGGTGGATTTTGTTTTTTGTTTCTCTACTGAGGGATTTGTAGTTTGTCTCTGTTAGCTCAAGAGGACCTCAAGATGTTGGCGAGGTTCACTGAAGGTGTTTATAATGCACCATTAAGTCGACAGTCTGTGGCGAGTGGCAACGTTGGTCGCGGACTAATAATTGGTGATGACCTCAGATGACCTCCTGCGGTAATCGGCCTCGGCAGCGTGACCGCCTAGACAACTGCCATCACTCTCACAGCGCAGCGCCCACCACACTCACTCTCACCGCCACCGCCGCCGCCCCTACTGCTGCTGCTGCTGCTGCTGTGACCTCTGTTGCTGTGACCTTCTGTACCGCTGCTGTTGTGGCCTCTGTACTGCGGCTGTTGTGGCCTCTGTACTGCGGCTGTTGTGGCCTCTGTACTGCGGCTGTTATTGGTACCTGTGTGGTGGTGGTGCTGTTGCCGCTGCTTCGACTGCTGTTGATAAAGACGCTATAGCTGTCTCTATTGCTGTTATTTTCAATGTTTCCTCTGCTGTTGTTGCTGCTGCCTCTCTTTCTATTGCTGCGTCTTGGGGTCGTGTGTGGGGGAGCCGTTCAATAAAACTTAGCAAATCAATACACAGTGACCATTTCCTCTCCAAATAGACAGTTCTCTCTGACTCAAAGCAAACTAACTTTCAAAGCTACTTCATTTCAGATGGTTCCTGAAGGTGGAGGAGCCAGCCGTCACGACCACGAGCAGGCATGTAGTCAAGTACCTGTAAACACGACTAATGAACAACCTGAAGAACCTGTCCATCAATTAGGTTCGCCCCACAGTGCCGAGGAGTCGTTGATGGTCCTCAGATATTCGCGAGATATTCCTGAAATGCTTTATAGTTAGTGCCAGTGTGTGTGTGGGTGTGGGGTGGGAGGGGGTTATGGGGAGTGTTGTGTGCGAGAATTTGTGTGGGAGGGTTTGTGTGGGTCGTGTGTCGTGTGAGGTCGGTCGTGTGGGGGTCTGTGGGGGTCGTGTGAGGGTCTGTGAGGGGGTCGTGTGAGGGGTGTGTGGGGGGGTGGGGGGGTCGCGTGGGGGTGGTTGTGTAGGGTATACAAAACTGTTGTCTTTTGTGGTCGAGTCTCTAGTCTTTAGTTGATGATGAAGGAAAAGACTCCTGTTGCATCGTGGAACCCCACACACACAGACACACACACACACACACACAGACACACACACACACACACACACACACACACAGAGACACACACACACACACACACACACACACAGACACACACACACACACAGACACACACACACAGACACACACACACACACACACACACACACACACACACACACACACACACACACACACACACACACACACACACACACACACACACACACACACAGACACACAGACACACACACACACACACACACACACACACACACACAGACACACACACACACAGACACACACACACACACACACACACACACACACACACAGACACACACACACACACACACACACACACACACACACACAGACACAGACACACAGACACACACACACACACAGACACACACACACACACACACACACACACACACACAGACACACACACACACACACACACACAGACACACACACACACACAGACACAGACACACACACACACAGACACACACACACACACAGACACACACACACACAGACACACACACACACACACAGACACACACACACACACACACACACACACACACACACACACACAGACACACACACACACACACACACACACAGACACACACACACACACACACACACACACACACAGACACACACACAGACACACACACACACACACACACACACACACACACACACACACACACACAGACACACACACACACACACACAGACACAGACACACACACACACACACACACACACACACACACACACACACACACACACACACACACACACACACACACACACACACACACACACACACACACACACACACACACACACAGACACACACACACACACACACACACACACACACACACACACACACAGACACACACAGACACACACACACACACACACACACACACACACACACACACAGACACACACACACACAGACACACACACACACACACACACACACACACACACACACACACACACAGACACACACACACACACACACAGACACAGACACACACACACACACACACACAGACACAGACACACACACACACACACACACACACTACTTTATTCCCCACAACTATTATTCCAAGCGAGTAGTGTTGTAAGTTTACATACCGGCCTAGACTACACCTAAGGGACAGGTGATCACGGGGTCACAGCACCAGGAAGGAGTCCCCGCGTCTCTCACACCAACAGAAACCCAGAAAATTACACCGACTGAGATAATTTGACGTAGAGACTAAATAACCTGAAGATTAATCACCCTTACCTAACCTAACCCTATAGGTAGAGTTAGTGTCATCCATTTTCTAGTTAACATACGGGTCCAGGTTCTTTAGTAACATTATCAACAGGTAAAAGGGCCATGTTCATCGAAATATTTAAAACACACACACACACACACACACACACACCTTCTCTACTCACTGGGCTCTATACGTCGAGGATGAAGACTCTGGCACTCAATTTCTGGAGCTTCTTCGGTACCTCTTCAGGGCTCAGACCACCCACCAGGGCAGTAACCAGCACGAGTAGAGGAAGTGGTGACGTGTGTGCCTCCGACCACCTCAGAAGGAAGACTGATTTTACCCTCACTGGCCTTCACTAACCCACGTCGACTATGGGTAAACAAAGTGACCAATCAGCACAGAGATCTAACATAACTACCCAATGACTAGTTTATGAGTTCCAACTAGGACAGAATGGTTAATCTTCAAGTGAAAGAATCAGGTGAATCATATCTTTTTTTTTCATAAGGTTTTAATATTTATTTTATCTATTCAATGTTTTATATAAATTAGAGTTTGACTGAAAGGTTTATGTAGTGAGGGAATGGTGCCTGAATGCTGTGATAGACCGCTAGGATTTGCTGTACGTGTATGCTGCTGTTCTGAGGGCTGTTTATCTCCTCCCACAGTCACAGCACTAACAGCAACGGTGAGGGAGAGTTTGTGTAACAGATTAAATTGGTTTTGTTTTAATTGGTTTTTTTCTATTTCATCTCCTCCCTCTCTCTCTCTCTCCCTCCTCCCTCCCCTCTCCTCTCTCTCTCCTCCCCTCCTCTCCTCTCCCTCCCTCCCTCCCTCCCTCTCTCCCTCTCATCTATCATACTTTAAAAAATCTTTCTCACGCTCTACAAATATTACTGAATTGTCTGAGGTTAAGCAAGTTATTTTTCCTCCATACTCGTGCGCGTTTTACTTCCTGTGTGTGTGTGTGTGTGTGTGTGTTTAGGGACGAGTTAGTAAATGTATGTGTGTATATCTGTCTGTCTGTCTGTCTGTCTGTATCTCTGTCTGTCTGTCTGTCTGTCTGTATCTCTGTCTGTCTGTCTGTCTGTCTGTATCTCTGTCTGTCTGTCTGTCTCTCTGGGGATTTACCTGACCAGTTATCCCAATTAGGAAGTTAAGGTCCCGTAGATTCCTCTCTTTCTCACTCTCTTACTTCTTTCTCACTCTATCTCTCTCTTTCTTTATCTTTTTCTATGTCTCTTTAGTTCTCTCTTACTATCTCTCTCCTTCTCGCTTTCTTTCTTTCTTCTTAAAGGAGGAAGAAGAAAAATAAGAGGAGGAGGAGGAGAAGAGAGGTGTATAGAGAGGGGGGGTGAAAGGAAGAAGGAGGAGGAGAAGAGAGAGAGGGAGGAGAAGAGAAGAGAGAGAGGGAATAAGAAGGAGGAGAGAGAGACAGAGAGATATAGATGGAGAGGGGAGGGGTCACACAACAATGCAAGACTCGCCTGTATATTATAAGGTGACCCGCCAGGTGTACAGAAGGCCCTCACGTATTACATATTTCTCAATGTGTAATTATGTTGTTAAATAATTATACCATGTCTTGTTCATAGCTCTACGTCAAGGTGTGAGGGAGGGGGTTGTGGGGGTTGTGGGGAGGGGTGGGGAGGAGTGAGGGGTGGGGAGGTAAGAAAGGGGGTGGCACATACTTTATAATATACAAGTAAAACACATCATCATATCTAGAAATTTATTAAAAACAGATGAAAATAAATACACTTTAACACTACAATATTGCACATCCAGCCTCTCACTTTGTTTATACATTTAATAAAAGAAACTATAAACTCCAGGAATTAACAAGAGGTCAAGTACACAACACGATGATGATATGAGGATTAAAATGTGGCTTTCTGGCCTTGGAAACAAAAGACGGTCGTGAAAATGCTCGAGAACCTCTTTGTTGTGTTACTGTGACATAAATATATAAATGATTTGAATATTCATAGACGATCTAAACCTAACCACTGCATCTTAAAAACCCTTCTATGTACAGATAGATTATTATTTCTATAAGTATTCTAAAAGAAATTTGATCCACCATAAATAAGAAAGGATTTAATCTTATTGGTATGGTTGATGTGTTTTTTTCTCTCTCTCTAATTTAAAGCTCAGAAGTAAAACATAGTAAAGCTATATAGGAAAATTTGTCTACGGGAGAAAACAAAATAACATCGCATATAATTCTTTCCCCGGCATCTATACTACGACCATCAGGCTACCTGTTTATTACACTCACTTCATTCTCTCCACTTCTCTTATTATTTCTTATTTTCTCTTCCTCACCATTATTAGGAATAATTTGTACCTCCTCCTCCTCCTCCTCCTTCACCCCCTCCTTCACCCCTTCTTTTTTTTCTTCTTCCTCTCCATTTTCCTCAGACTTGGAACCAGTTTTAATGTGTTTCGCAGACAGGATCGTGGGTGAGGGAGACAGAGTGTGATCCTGTGTGGATTTGAGTAAATTGTCGAGTGAGAATTTTTGATACGAGTGTGTGTGAGTGATGACGGAGGACGAGGAACCTGACGAAGCAGTCGACGACGCGGAGGAGGAGGAGGAGGAGGAGGAGGAGGAGGAGGAGGAAGGCCCTGACGAAGTATGAGAGGAGGATTTAATGATGGAGTGTGATTTCGTCGCGAGTGGAGTTTCTCTGTGAGTGAGGGAGGGGAGGGAGCCTGGTAGCTGAGGTGTGGTAACTGTGGCTTTTTCGTGGTGAGTCTGAGGGGCGCCATATTTGTCTGGAGGTGATGGAGGGATGCTTCTCTCAGGAGACTCTGAGGTGAGGGGCCTCTCTGGTGAGGGTGAGGTATTTACGACGATAGGGGAGGGAGGTAAGGATGGTAGAGGACTCGGAGTGCGTGAGAAACAATGTGAGGTGGACGGTGAGGGAGGAGGTGAAGTGGTTGGTGGAGACTGTGAGGTGGAGGGGGTGAAAGAGGAGAATATGGGTGGGGTGGAGGCGGCCGCTGGAGTGAGTGGAGTGTCTGAGCCACTCGTGGACGCCGGTGAGGTGAGGGACGCTGGGAGGGACGCCAGGTGCCGCTCTGTCCTCTTCATCTCTGGAAGAAAATCAATTGATCTATAACAAGTGAAGAGTATTCAGTGTGTGTTGAGGTGCATAAATCAGCGATGGGCTTCTGTGTGTGTATATAGTCTGTTTATATGTGTTAAGTTGTATTTGACACATTAGTGTGTTATAGTAAAGAAGAGCAGCACAAGACCTACCTGCGTGTAGTAGTGCGTGGTTGCGGAGGTTGGTGAGTTTGCTGAAGCCTTTACCACAGACGGAGCATTTGTGGGGCCACTGGCCGTTGTGGACGAACATGTGGGAGCGAAGATCTCCTGGGGTGGGGAAGGAGCGGGTGCACAGCGAACACTTGTGTGGCTTCTCCTTGACGTGGGTCATCTTGTGGTAGTAGAGGTTGGAGGACGCCGTGAACCTCTTCCCGCACACGCCACACTGGTGAGGCTTCTCGCCACTGTGGATCCGTCGATGTGTGTTGAGTGAGGAGCTCGTCGAGAAGCCTTTACCGCACACGTCGCACACGTGTGGCTTCTCGCCTGTGTGGGTCCTCATGTGCCGCTTGAGTAACGACGGCCGATCAAAGGCCTTCCCGCACTCCGAGCACGGCAGCATCGTCCGCTCCCGCCGCTTGGCAGGAGCCACCGTGAATGTCACCTCACTGCTGCCCGCCACCGTGCTGGTGTTGACCGCTGTATGGGATACGCTACAGCTTGGTGCCGCTACTGACGAAGGTGCTGTTAGATTTAGAGTAAATGAAGGTCTCCTGGGTGGCTCTGGGTCTGTCATATTTAGTCCAAACGGTGACTGTCTTAGCGGAAAGAATGCCGAGGAGGATGACGGGAAAGGTGAGATCGGGGAATTGGTTGCTGGGGAAGGCGGTGAAGGAGAACGAAGAGGCAACTGTTCTTCAACCTTGCGTTTAACAGCGCCTCTATTTGACAGCCCTAGCGGGGGTGAGGACGGGGCGGTGAGGAGAGACCGGGAGAGATCCAGCGGCGCCTCCGACATGATGGAGTCGATTGTGTGGCGGTAGAGTGAGGATCGGAGCAGCGTCAGCGCCGGCAGGAGCAGCGTGTCTTCTCCCCCCATGTCCGGCAGCAGGAAGGCGAGCAATCTCTCCCCAGGGGCTACCTCCCGCACCACCTCAAACACCACAGATCCTGGGGGGGGCGGGGGAAGAGGAAGTGATCAGATAAAAAAGAAAGACAAGAACTAACAGAGGATAATCACACCTCATGCATACTCACCAGCCTTAAGTTAACCCTGAAAGGAAAATTGATCAGCAAGATTAACCCCCGCGAGCATCACTTAAGAATTACCGACATCGTTACAATAAATGCAGATTTTTTCTCTTCATCATCAGTTCCTCCTTGAAAATCCCCAAAAGAAAGTGTCACGATTTTCCCCCAAAGTGTGAGGCGGGTGACCAACACTCCTCAGGTGCGAGAGAGGAGGACTGAGGTAAAAACGAGGCTCACGGTCGAGTGGGTCAGTAAACAGGAGATGTTCGGAGCCGGGACGTGAGGCTGGACCAACTCTCGTCAACTCCCCGAACAAAGAAAAAAAAATAAATTAATAAAAAAAAGAAAAAAAAAAGCCAATCATCAAACAAAAAATAAATAAGTAGATAAAAAATAATAATAAATAATCGGTGTATAAATAAGTAGGTAAATATCCATACAGTATCAAGACTCAACTAGACCACCGCCAGCTCTCGTGTCATCCAGCCGACCTCCAGGACACACAAGATGCCAAGATATCACAGAATGTCTTTAAAATTCCATCATAGAGACAAGGAAGGGCAGGCGACTCGTTACTCCAGGATTTATGAGTGGACCGGATATTGCCCCACCGTATAAGGCTGGCGGAAAGTATAGTGAGGGGGGGAAGGGTATAGTGAGGTGGGTGAGGGGTATGGTGAGGTGGGGGAGGGGTATGGTGAGGAGGGTAAGGGGGGGGTAAAGAGGTGGAAGAGAGGACATGGTAAGTGGGGGAAGGGAAAGAGGGTGTGTGTTTCTGTGTGTGTGTGGAAGGCACTATAAGGAGTGGATGTATAGTACAGTTAACCCAAGCACCACCGCCCCCACACCTTTACCTGGTAATACTTGGTAAATTCAGGCTGCATGTAATGGCGATTGTGATTGGTGGATCTATTTTCGGCTGTATAACTATTAAACAATCCAAAGGTAGGATTTGTATAACACTAAACTATTCATCGTTAGTTATGATCACGAGAAGTTTCAGAATGTTGGTATATTTGACGAAAATTCGGTGTGAGAATCGTGTGGCAGCTCTGGTTGTAGGGAAGTTACTGATCAAAAATACGTATATATGGGTTATTTAGTTTATATATCTATTTAATCATCGTATCTTTAATTCTAATATAAAAACAAAATCAGATACTAAATATTAATTGAAAATAAAAGAAAGGGAGAAAGAAATATATACGAATAAATTAACAGAGACAAGAAGAATATAAACGTTTTGTTATCAGGAGACGCGAGTGTTTGAGTGTCTCTTCATGACGGCTATAGAGAGTTATTATTGTTTTAGGAATTTATAGATCTCAATAAATATAGGCAAATATAATAGTCTTGTGGAATTATTTAGTTTATTATTATTTTGTTGTTGTTTTAAGGAGTGTTATAGGTTAAAGGGTGTTTCCATAATGTAGTTTAATTAAAAGAAACAGACGTAGTTATGAAAATCGACAGAGATACAGAGTTAGTGGGTGAAGATTGAAGTCATGTGAAGAGTAAAGGAGATATTTCAACGCTTTGGTAGAAAGGAAAGTGAGGAAGAATTTGGGTACTTTCTACACACACACGGAGAAAGGGAGGACGTACCGTTACTTAATGACGGAGAAAGTTATACAGATTAAAGGAATATTAAAAAAAGGAAGTAGTGATATACTGTATATATATATAAACAGGGAGAAGTAAAAGAGAGAGAGAGAGAGAGAGAGGTAAGAGAGAAAGATATAAGTAATAGAGAGAGAGAGATAAGTAAGAGAGAAAGAGAGAAGTAAGAGAGAAAGATATAAGTAATAGAGAGAGAGAAAGAGAGAGAAAGAGAGAGAAGTAAAACAGTAGAGTGACCTGGGTGGTGTTATCAAGGAGATCAGGACGTTGCGGTAAGTAGTAGTCCACGAGGCGCTAACGTGTTGGTATGCTAACGATGCTGCCAGCGATCTCTCCCTGTAGGAGCTTGAGGGACCCTGAATAAGGACCGCCGTGTATCCTATGGTGCCAAGGGCTGTGAGGTCTGTCCGTAGTGGAATTTGGACCTAAGAATCATCGTAAGAATCCTCGTATCTTCGTCTCTCGTGGAGTGTGAGGGGAGGAGTGGGAAGGGGGGAGTGAGGAGGGGGGTCGAGAATGGAGTGTGAGGGGTCTGAGGGGAGGAGGGGGAGGAGGGGTCAGAGAATGGAGTGTGAGGGGTCTGGGGGGGGAGGAGGGGGAGGGAGGGAGGGGTCAGAATGGAGTGTGGGGTCTGAGGGAGGGAGTGAGGAGGGGGTCAAGAATGGAGTGTGAGGGGTCTGAGGGGAGGAGGGAGTGGAATGGGGGTCGAGAATCAAGAATTTGCACTTTATATTTCTGGGAATTATGGTATTAGTTGTGACTGGTCGGGGATGTTGTCATAAGAGATTCTCAACCCAAACATCGTACCTGTGTGTCTTGTGTCAAGTCTCTTACAACAGGTCCAGGGTGTTGTAGTGAGGGATCTTCTTCTCGGAGTAGCTTTGAACCCCAGCAGGTGGAGGGGTAGGAGGAGGAGGAGGAGGAGGAGGAAGAGTAGGAGGAGGAGAAGGAGGAGGAGGAGGAGAATAAGAAGAATAAGAAGTAAGAAGGAAGAAGGAGAGGAGGAGAGAGAGAAGAATAAGAAGTAGGAGAAGGAGAAGGAGAAGAAGGAGAAGGAGAAGAAGAAGAAGAAAAAAGAAGAAGAAGAAGGGGGAGGAGGAGGAGGCGGGGGCAGTAACCACCATTCTCCAGTACATTACCAATCATTTACGACGATTTTGTGACATCTTCGTCTGAGGCTTTTTTTTGTCTTTTTTCATTTATTTATTTTTTTAATCGTGGAGAAATTCGAACCCAAAACCTGACTCTGTTTTTCTCGTAATATCTATCTTAAGGTAACACTGTTCTGCGTGATGGTTCGGCAGTGTATAAAACTTTACGGTCTTTCTTCACCCTTAAGCCCTCTGGTGGTGGTAATAGAAAGAGAAACTAATTAGTATTGACGTCAGCACACTTCTACAACTTATTACAGGAATATACTATTTACTTTTCATCGTGTTTGAAGGTTTAAAGGGATCTGATTGTCTGTTGTATTAGTGTTTCTTTTACTTATGGTTTTAGTATCCTTAAAGGGGATTAGATTCGTTGTTTTTGAGATGGCTAAATGTAATGGGCCCCTGTCTCATCAACTGAACATATTATATAAATGGGTCAATACATCTGATATTATATTCAGATTCACCACCCAGTAACTTTCCACTGTCTATGAGTAAGACATGAGTTGGACACGTGAGCGGGCAACTCTCCCAAGAGAGCGAGACCCATAGCTCAGCATTTCTGTAAACCCGCACAGCGAGGTTCTCACAGTCAGTAGCTCACCTCAGCTTATATCGTAAGGACGTGACCTAACGTTTATAATACATAAACGCCGTCCCCTTCTCATTCACTCCTAGACAGTGAGACTTACGGTCGATCTACACTCAGGAATTATATATACAACCTTTTATAATAAAACAAAGGAACTACCGTTTGGGTTTCGTTACTTAAAACCCAAATATAAATATATATGAACGGACTGGTTAATTGCACAAGCAGCGGATTCATATAGGTGGCAGCGGTGGGATACGGATTCTTCAAACTGGTAGTCGTATCATCGGTCTGTGTTTTGTGAAAAAACAGAAAACACACAACAGTGACGCGTTACATAATCCGAGTGTTTAAATCTATATCCCGTATTAAGACGATATTTAGTGAGTGCTCCTTATCTCTGTCACATACAAATACGTGCAGAATTCGTAATATACATATAATACAGCCTGCTAGTGAAATACCAATTGTTAGTCCTGATTACCCCCATTTGATTGTCTTTTGTTTTACTTATACACTTAGGATCCTAATGGGGGGGATTAGAATCATCATTTGGCGGGTGTAGAGAATGATCCGATTGTCTATTGTTTTATGAATCCCTTAACTTTATTTCCTCTGGTTAGAAAATCCGATTAAAATCCTCTCTCACGGGGTGTAAAGGATCAGATCGTTTAAAGTTGCTCTGTGTTTTAATCCCAGGTTGTGGTTTGGGATTCTTCTATAATATTATGTGTAGGTTCTGTACCTAGATGGCGTGGGTGATGCTCTATTATTATTATTATTATTATTATTATTATTATTATTATTATTATTATTGGCGTATATCAATATTATCATCAATACTATTAAAATTATCACCGAAATTATATAGACAAAAATTTAACTGGAAAAGAAATACCGAAAACGACGTAAACAAAATCAATCTGAACCAAAGTACCGAAAGATAAATAAATAAACACATCTAAACACCGAAAACAAGGTAAACAAGACGACTAAAGACCTTCTCTTACTACTGTTTGACACCACAACAAAGACTCACCACTAAGACTCACCCCTCCCACCTGTGGTTTGTGGTCTAGGTGGGTTAAGGAGGCTGGCTAGGAGGGTTTAGTAGTGGAGTCTTTCAAGGTCTGGGAGCGGTGGACGTTCTTTGTAGCGTTGAAGTTTATGTCATCGCTAATGGATACCTCTGAGTGTGTCGCCCCTTTATGTCTGTCACAGCTAATGGTAGACGTGAGGAGGAGGAGGAGGAGTAAGAGGAGGAGTAGTAGAAGGAGTAGGAGAAGGAGGAGGAGGAGTAGTAGTAGTAGAAGGAGTGGGATAAGGAGGGCGCTTGTGTTTGATATGTGTAGAATAATAAAACGCTTCAGTTACAGATAGTCATTTGTTTTTCTTCTTCGTAATGCATAAAACGACAGATGAACTTGTTCCATTTGGATGCTTTTAGTGGCAACCTAATTAACTTGTAAATGGAAATGGTTAATTCTCATCTTGTCTTGAATTTATTACGAATTGAAAAATACTCTAAATAAGTTGTTGCATATTTTGACGGCTTGTCAGTTGTCATTATAGTTTGGCTGACCTCAGATGGGAGACTCACCTTCTGTCGTCTATAGTTTTTATTCCGTTTATACAACACTTGGAAACAAATAACAGTCATATTACCTTATTTGTAGTGTAGAATCGATCTAAAAACACTACAGATAGACCTTAGAAGAAGCATTAGTTTGTTTACATCAGGATATTGAGTCTCTTGTAGTGTTTATGTTGACAGTTAGTGAGAATTATGCTTTACTTTTTATCTGTTTATGGGGACCAGCTCACACGGGGTTGGTTGATTTGCTGTTTTGTAAAAGTTGTTTAGTTTCGTTTTTAATTATCCTGTTTATTTGTTAATGTAGTTCCAATTTTGTAACCTAACGTAATCTATCGACACTATTAGGATTGGAAGCCCATTACGACTAATCTCAGTGGGTAGTTTAGCGTGGATTCTAATAGGACTGGGGCCTGTTAGAACTGGGGCCTAATAGAACTGGGGCCTATTCAACTGCCACGATAACTAAATCCCTTCCACTTCCTTCTGTTTCCCCCTTTTCTTTCTTCTCCTCTTTTCTCCGTTTTTCTCTCCCACCTCTCCCTCTCTCTGTCTTCCACATTTCACTTCTAATTGTTTATTCATTATTTCCATCTCTTCCTCTCTTATTTTATTCCCCCCCCTCTCTCTCTTTCTCTCTTCTTATCCTTTTACTATTATCATATATCTTCCCTTCTTCTTTCGTCTCCCGTTTCTCCTTCCTTTCCTTCCTCTTTGTTCCGCCCTCTTTCCTAGCTCCTCCTTCTCCTAGCTCCCATTTCTCCTTCTCCTAGCCCCTCCTTCTCTACTTCCTCCTCCTCCTGTACTTCCTCCTTCTGTAATCCACCCTCCTCCTCCTCCTCCTCCTCCTCTAGGCCCCACCCACTCAGTCTCCGCCCAATCAAGTCCCCTCTCTCCCATCTTCCGTCTCCTCGGGCACTACACCGTCCACGTGCCGCCACCTCAACACGCGCCACTTCCGCCGTCTGCCACCCACGCGCCGTCACCACCCACTCATCCACCCACCCCTCCCACACATCCGGCGTGGAACAACCTCCGACCACTGTCTCCCACCATTACTTAACCCGGAAACAAGTGGCGTGTGTCTGTCGCGTGCCTTATGGGAAATCTGACCTGAAATCCAAACTAAACCGATTTGTAAGTGAGATTTAATTAATATATACTAATTAAAATAAAAGACAGGATTTATCTAGTGAAAAAAATTAATTTATAAGATAACAAAGATAAATTAGACGTAGATGTTCCCACCATTACGTGAACCTGAACTAAGTGGAGTGTGTCGGTAGTGAACAAGTATGGGAGATATGATACACCTAATATATGTAATACGTTATCAGATGGTGTAACCTGAATAAGAATCAAATGTTATATGTATGTAAGTATGTATACCTGACACACACACACACACACACACACACACACACACACACACACATACACTTACTGACTCAGCTGACTCACCCCTGACTCTGGAGGCGACCATATTGACTTGAGGTGAGAAGTGGAGGGCAATATTGATGAACCTGACCCAATTGCACAGTCTGACTCGGCCAGTCGTCCTCTCACACACCTCGTCATAGCTCCCGTAACGCTGTCTGGGCTGTAAAGGAGAGAGAGGGAGAGTTAACGGTGGTGAGAGAGTGTTGGGGGAGAGGGAGGGAGGGGGAGGGGTGGGGGAGGGGTGGTGGGGGAGAGGTGGTGGGGAGGGAGTATTGGGGAAAGGGAGAGGGATTTGGTGGGGAGAAGGAGACGGAAATGGTGGGGATAGGAGGTTGATGGGGGAGGGGGGTGGATTTAGTGGGTGGGAGTGAGGAAGAGACAGTGGGGAGAGTGTGGACAAGAGATAGGTTAACTACACGCAGCCAAATATTCTCTTAAATTACGAGAGAATAACACATCAAGGAGAGAAAACATCGACTTATTATTGTAATTATCTCATAACACACACTTACCCCCCACACACACACACACACACTAATGGTTGACCCTCGTGTAACGAGGATGGCCGGCCCAAGGACCACCTAGGCGTGAATTTGTTTAAGGTGTAGAAGCTGTCGCCAACACAACAACCACACCCTGAGTTAACGAGCTGCATGACCCAATCTCAAGGAATAGTCCGAGAAGACCGGACAACTCGCCAACTGCACTGCCTAACCATTATCCAGGAACACGATCCGCAAATCGATTAACATCCAGGTCTCCAATTACTGCTGGGTAGACAGAGGCAAATGGCGTAAAGAAACTTGCCCATAGCTTCACCCTGCCCGGTAATCGAACCTGGAACCACTCGCTTGCGAGGCGATCATGCTGACCATTACACCACAGGTCACCCCACCCTCCACCCACCTCCTACACACACACACACACACACACTCGCCCCCCACACCCCCACCCACCCCTTCACCCGTTCCCCTCTTCACCCAGATGAATAATTTCCCCCCTTTATGACCCGGTGTATCTGTATAAATAGCCCGTAATAGCGTGGGTTAAGAGCCTGTCGACTAGCTCATGCAAGGCTAATGTCTGTCTGTCTCTCTGTCTCTCTGTCTGTTCTTGTGGCGATATATGGACGTCTTATGGAGTTTCTTTGTTATTGTTTCTGTGGAGTGATACGGGACCTTCTTGTTAGACAGACACAAAGACAGACAGATGGATAGACAGACAGAGAGACAGCCAGATAGAGTCACCCTCCGGCTCCTCGTGCATGAAACAATTCGAGAAATGTGGACCGGTCGAGTGTAGTCTTCTAACGGTGGAGGACGAGGAGGAGGAGGAGGACGAGGAGGAGGAGGAGGAGGAGGAGGAAGAAGGGGAAGAAGAGGAGGAGGAGGAGGAGGAGGAGGAGGATGGCACGGGGTGGGTGAAGCAATAAAGTGGCAGTAAAGGAACATTATGTGGTTTAGGGGCCGGAGGCTCACTATACTGTACCACAAGTTGCATACAGTGGCACCCGGCTTCCCCCCCTCCACCCCGTCCACACCTCCTACTACTATATATGGGGGGGGGGTGAAAGATGGTTGTGGTGGTATTGGTTGGTAGTGGTTGGTTGGTTGATTGGTGGGTGGTGGTAATGGTGGTAGGTGGGTGGTGGTAATGGTGGTAGAGGCTGGGTGACGCATTTGTTTACATTAGCGGAGTATATTCAGGTTCATCAAATCACCGCCAGGGGGGAACATCAAGGTAACACACAGTATATCTGACGTATTGGCCCCTGGGATCACCTCATACCTTTGAACTCTGTTGTACTCTGGAGGTTTATTCTTCCTCGAGGTAACAGAGTGAACACCTTGAGAGAGTTCTTTACATCTTGAACTATTTACGGGCGTCATTACAGTCTGACTCATGAGTGAGTTCTCAATAAGGTTCACTCTGCGTCTCCTGAAAACACACTTAATATTCTGAGTCTCACCACAACACGCATCACCGTACACCATCATCCTCTCTCTCACCAGTAGCTGTCACCAGTACTTGGGATGAGGACGGCTTGCAACGGAGACAGCCTTCATGATGGTTTGGGTTCCTCCCCCTTTCCTCCTCTCGTAGACAGCTAAACAGACAGCTAAACAGACAGCTAAACAGACAGCCAGGCAACTTCCACTCGTTCTCGGCTATCACATCTCCGGTATCATTAGCTGAGAATGTGTGTCTCCCTTTACCACCCTGACCCCATACAAGGCGGTGATGGAGACGAGCCAGAGGAGGAACCGTGGTGGTCATTTTCATATATTCCACATCAAGCTTCGTAGGAATTGTTTGTGGGTTTATACACAGTGATCGATCATGAGCGACGAGGGTCTTAATTCAGGAATATTCGGCGGCTGTAAATTATAATTCCACTTTAAGGACCAACTTGATTAAGATCGTGGATCACTCTGTGCCGGCTGTCAGGATGTAAAAGGCTTCTGATAAGCATTATAACATCTGGAATATGTCACTCAAACAAGCCACTTAACCAGAAGCTTATTTTCAGTCTTATCTATGGAGTTAATAAGACTCAATCTCTGCCTCACACACACACACACACACACACACACACACAAGTACATATCGAAGGTGAGAGAGAAAAAAAACACCGAGTTAGGTAACAAATTAGGACCTAGGAAACATTATCTGGGATTAGTCTTCTGTAAGCGAATTAATGAATCACTTGACAAGGCGGCGGAGGTTGGGAGCTATGCCCTGTACCCTGGCGGCTCAAACTACGATGTCTCCCATTACCAAGATGACGAATTATAACTCTTACTTACGGGATGAGGACTGGGAGACACTTGTATCTATTAACTCTAATATTCTGGCATCTCTTGGGTATTCTGGGCTAACGAGGCGGTACCATAGTTAAGTTAATTATCATTCCCCAGATGATTAACCTCTTACTCAAGCGTGTGACACCTGTATGAGGTCAGAGAGATGTGGGGAATTGTTGAGTACTCGAGGTTGTGGTGTGTATGGTATGACTGTGTGAGGCTTATGGGGCCCAGCGTCAATGTATATTATTATATTTGTGCACACACACACACACACACACACACACACACACACACACACACACACACACATCACACACACACACACACACACACACACACACACACACACACACACACACACACACACACACACACACACACACACACACACACACATCTCACACACACACACACACACACACACACACACACACATCACACACACACACACACACACCACACACACACACACACACACACACACACACACACACACACACACCACACACACACACACACACACACATCACACACACACACCACACACACACACACACACACACACACACACACACACACATCACACACACACACACACACACACACACACACATCACACACACACACACACACACCACACACACACACATCACACACACACACACACACACACCACACACACACACACACACACACACACACACCACACACACACACATCACACACACACACACACACACACACACATCACACACACACACACACACACACACACACACACACACACACACACACACACACACACACACACACACACATCACACACACACACACACACACACACACACACACACACACATCACACAGGTAGGTATGGACAGGCAGGTCTAACACTATAGCGTTACCCTATTGAAGTTGTGTGGATTCCTCTACTGCGGAGGTGGTGGTGACGATGGTGATGATGATGATGATGATGATGATGATGTTAGAGGTATTAGTGGTAATGTTGGTAGTGGTAGTAATGGTGGTGAAAGTAACGGCGATGGTGGTAATAGTGGTGGTTTATGAAGGTGATACTGGTAATGATAGTGGTGGCATGGTAGTAATGATAGTAGTGGTAATGGTGGTAGTAATGATAGTAGTGTAGTTGTGGTAGTATGATTTAGGTTAGGTTAGGTTAGTTAAACATCACCATATTCTGATGGTCATTATGAGGAGCAATAATAATTAATGGTGAACTATTAACGGTGGAAGAAGACTAAGAGGAGGAGGAGGAGGATGAGAAGGAGGAGGAGGAGGAGGAGGAGGAGGAGGAGGAGGAGAGGAGGAGGAGGAGGAGGAGGATATAAAGGAGGGAGAGGAAGAGGAGGGAATAAAGGAAGGAGGAAGAGGAAATGAAGGAAGAGGAGGAGAAGGAGGAGATGGCCTACTATTATCGACAGGAAGAAGAGAAAAGAAAGAGAAGAGAAAGAGAAAGAAGGAGGCAAAGGAAGGCCATGGAGAGGAAGAAGAAGAAGAAAAGGAAGAGAAAGTAGGGAGGAGGAGGTGGAAGGAAGGAAGAAGGGCCAGAAGCGCTACAATTATGCGTTATAAACTCTGGGTACCTGGCGTCTTAGTGTTGGACGGAGTGACATTAAGGGGATACTACCTTATTCAGTCCCAACCACGGCTAATTGGCGCAGCTATTTCACCAGTAACGTCGTTCCCTGAAGGATTGATGCGCCCCCCTCCCCTGCTGGTGGTGGTACTAGTGGTGGGGGGTGACGTTGGGAGGGCAGGGAGGGGCGAGGAGAGGCGGGAGGGCGGGAGAGGTGGGGAGGGCAGGAGGGCCAGGAGGGTTAGAGTCATTGGCATGTATGGTGTTGTATGAGAGTGTATGTGTATATGTATAAGGAATATGTATGGACTTCGCTTATACATGTTGGGTTGGGGATTTGCATGCCTAGGGATCAGTTTGCTGTGAAAATACTAATAACAAAATATGGATTAATTTGTTCTTGTTTCGCTTCCTGGGTTATATTTTTATTTATTTTTTTAAATTAAACATGTAGATCAATTTACCATTTGACGATGTTAAATAGGAAAATGATTTGTGATAATTTTAACTAAATGTTGAAGAAAAATCTAATTACTGAGAAAAAATGTGATCAGTGAGGAAGAAAATGTGATCAGTGAGGAAAAAATGTGATCACTGAGGAAAAATGGACACTGAGGAAAAATGTGATTACTGAGGAAAATGATCATTGAGAAAAAAATGTGATCACTGAGGAAAAAATGATCACTGAGGAAAAAAGTGATCACTGAGAAAAAAATGATCAGAGGAAAAAATGATCAGAGAAAAAAAATG